CAGCCCCGACAGCGCCAGCGCGATCACGGCCTCGGCCATCAGATCGCCGGCGCCCTTCTGGGGGGCGCCGTTGACCTCCACATCGCCCTCCATAGGAATGATCTTGACCACCAGCGAGGGCGGCAGATCATCGTCGTCCCGCGTGTCCCGCCCGGGGCCGCCGCCGCCGCGGGCCAGGGCGCCATCGGGGGTGGTGGGGCCCCTGAAGACCTCGCCATACGTCCCCTCCCCGATCTTCACCGTCTGCTCGGTGCGTCGCGGGGCGGGCGGGGAGGGCGCTGGGAGAGGGCGGCCGCAGGGGGCGGCGCGCGCCCGCGTCGGGGGCGGCATGCCGCGCCAACGCGCCCTGGAGGCGAGCAGCGGCGAAGGTGGCGTGCACGGAGGGGCGCCGGCATGCATCAAAAGTTGCTGTGCTCAACTGCCGGGCCCCAAGCTCACCCTTTTGAGGTCCAGCAGGCCACCCAGCAGCTCCTCCACGCTGGGGATGGCGGCCACGTCACCCCCCTGGCCGCACACCGCCAGCAGCTGCTCCAGCGCGTTCCCGACCGCCTCCTCGCCTTCCGCCTGCTCCGCTGGCACCCCCTCTCCTGCCACCTCCCCCGCCGCCGCCTCCGCCTCTGAGCCCGCCTCCACATCAATTGATTTATGCGCGGCGTCCGCATCGCCCACCCCGGCCAGCTGCAGGTGCTGCTGCAGCAATTTGGACAGCTGCTCCGTAGCTTCCTCCTCGACCGCCGCCGCCTCCGCCTCCTCCTCCTCCAAGACGACCCCCGGCAGGCCCCCCCGGCCCGGGGACGCGCCGCCCATCACGGCGTGCGCCGCATGGGCAGCCGCCGCCGCCGACCGCCGCGCCGCAGCGGCCGTCGCAGGGGCGCCCACTCCCAGGGAGTCCCGGGCGGACCACCGTGCCGGGCCGGCGGCAGCGCCCGCGACCGAGTCGCGGCCGGACGACGGCCGTGCGCCGCCGCCTGCAAGGGAGCTCGAGCGGCCGCCTGCAGCGGCCGCCATTGCCAGGGACCCGGATCGCCGAGCACCCAGCCCGCCCACCGCGGTGGCGGCGGCCGCCGCCACCGCTTGCTGCAGATCGACTGCGGCAGACAGCCGTCCCGCCGCGGCGCCGACGCCCAGGGATGTGCGGGGCAGCAGCGAGAAGCTGCTCAGCCGCTGCCTGGCGCGCAGCTGGTCGGCTGCGGTCCCCGAGGCCGCGCCGTGCGCCGCGAGCGCCTCTGGCCGCATGGCGGGGCCGGGCACCAGCGTCTGCCGGCGCAGCAGCCCGTGGGCCAAGCTGCTGCGGCGCCCCTCTGCGGGCGCTACGGCTGAAGGCCGCGAGACCCAGGCAGGCAACCAGCCCGCCGGCGTGCCCGCGGCCGAGCTGCTAGGGGTGTCCGAGGTGAGATCAGAGGGCGTGTCGTCCAAGGTTGCCGCCTCGGGCGTCGACGACGAGTCCGGCGTCCCCGCCAGCAGCGCAGCGCTGCGCTCAGCGCCGCTCGTCCCCTCTGTGTCAGCGCTCGCCGCCAAGCCGCTCCGCCCGCCGGTTGCTGCGCTGCGGTTGTTTGTGCAGCCGTAGCTGAGGCTAGGCTGCGCCAGCGCACGCGACATTGGCGTCTCCGCCAGGAGGCCCGAGTTTCTGGCGCCCTGTAGCTGCGCGTGCACGGGCGTAGTTGCTGCCAGGAGCGGCGGCGCCGCCGGTGCCGGCCCCTGAGCTGCCGCCTCCGCCGCGTCTGCTGGCATGGGGGCGTCGGCGGCGCCGCGTGCCGCCTGCCGCTCCTGAGGCTCTTCATCCTCGTCCTCTTCAACCAACTCAAAGGCATCCACCTGCAAAGCATAGATGCAGCGTGCGCCGCCATTCAGCTGGCATCGGGCCACGTGTGCCAGCAAACCTGTTGTGCCTTGCAGCTGCATAGGAAGGTGCACACACGTGCACAGAAAAATAGATCCGGACAGCCGTCGCAGTCGCTGCATGTGTCACCGCTCTCACCGACCTCTGCAAAGTGGGCCGCCATTTGCATCAGGTACTTGTGCAGAGCCGCCCGCCTGGCAGAGGACATGCCCCGCACCCGCCACCCCTGCAGCAGCCGCGTCCCCGGCGCCTCGTCGCGCCACCCGGCGCCGCCCGGCAGCGCGGCGCCCGGCATCAACGAGCTGCGCCGTGCCCGCGGGGCGCCGCCGCCGCCGCCGACTGCGCGCCGCCGCGCGCGCCACGGGGCAGGCTGCGGCGCTGGCGTTGGTGTGGCGCTGCTGGACCCAGGGTGGCTGCCCTCGCCACATGTGCTGCGTGCGGGTGCTGCTGCTTTCGTTGGCGTTGCCGCCGCAGGGACCGAGCTCGTCGCTGCCGGGCGACCACCTGCTGCCATCTGTGGAGGGGGTGTCTGGGGGCGTCGCCGCGCTGGCAGGGGTGGTCGGTGCGCCCAGGGCGCTGTGCACAGGTGTGGCAGCTTCCACTTGGGATGCAGCAGGGGCAGCGGCCGTGCTGGTCGCGTTGGCGCCGATGCCGGCCTGGATGGGTCGTCGTAGCAGTGCTTCTAGTTCAGGCAGAACTGAAGTGAGTGCAGCTTATTGATGCACTGATTGCATGCACTTGCGCGTAGACACACCTGGCCGCACCGCAAGTTGCGCACCACTGCCGCGCACCTTTGTGTTTCGTCGCCGCACGAATGTTTTCAGCGGCGCGGAATCTCTTGATTTGGCCTCCGAGTTGCCCACATCTTTGAGCACTGTAGCGTCCTCCATGCTCAATCTTAGTGATCTAGGCTCGCTTGGACCATCCGCACACTTGTAACACCTACTTTGATGATATCATTATTGGATTGTCCACACTACTCGCTTCTGGGGTGTAGCTCGTGGACATTTTTCAAACTTTTTGGTCAACAACCGAGAATCAAGCGTGCGCTTTGAACTTGACTAAGGAGAGTGACGTGCTTGATGTATTATAAAAAGCTGTCATATGGTAGGCCGCCGGAGAGCCAGGAGTTGTACATAGTACATCCTGGTCACATCAGCGCTTGTGTGCGTCCAGGTGGGTGGGCAGCTGCATGTGCTGTTGCGCGGCCTCATACTACATCTCAACCCATGTCCCATCCACGCAACTGCGTGAGAGTTCGATGCCTACCGTAGGCGGCACCAGCACAAATGGCTTCTCATCACATGCCTGCGTGCGAGTGTCCATGTCGTGTCCTATTGTGGTGTAGCGGGCAGCATGTGCAGCATGTGCTGGTGGTTTTGATGCAAGCATACGCAGGACAGCCGGTCTCACCTGATCAAATCACCAGTTTTTGCAGCAGGGTTGACCTTCTGGTCCGACCACCCGTTCAGCAAGGCAGAAACGCGAAAGGAACATCCTGCGCAGCATAGGGCCTGCGCAACGGCCAGCACGCAGCTGCCATGCTGCATTTTTGCCGAGCTTTGAGCGTGCCATACAACTGGTTGCCTGCGGTCGCGGCATGCATGCAAACCGGCGGTGCCCTGAGGCGGGGGAGTCGGGTGAAGTTTAAAGCACACGCACTTCTGACAGCAGCATTGCATGGGTGGCGGCGGTGCAGCGAGCGGCGGGGGCAGCATTCAATGTGCGCTGCTCATCATCACCACCAATACACTTGTACATTCTAGAACAATGTATTGATGCAAACCTAGCCGAAGGAAGTTGCGTTCGTAGCTTGCGAAGCAGTCTTTGGCCATTGAAGCGGCCGGGCTTGTGGGCCGCGCTACGCCATTTGGCGAATCTACAAACCATGCACCAAATAAGCTGTCAACTTCCGAGCGGCAGGCCCGCATGGCAGGGGCTGCTTCATGGTGCGCGTCGCTGTTGTGGTATGTGCGGGGGTCTCACCAGCGCAGCGATGCTTAGTTGTCCTGCAGAGCCCATTATACACACCTATGCAGCGCCGCCTGTGCAGGCATGGTGCCGCGCGCCGCCGCCGTCTAGCGCACCACCCGCCTCACCTTCGGCCGCCGCACTGCTCCCGCAGGCCCAGCCATCCACGCCGCACCGCGTGCGGCCCCTCGACATCGCTGCCGCGTTGCCACATTGGACCCGCCATCGGCCGGCGGCGCGGCGGGCGACGGCAACCGCGGCGCCGCCGCAAACACCAGCGGGGGTGGGGTGACGGGCGGTGGCAACCCCAGTGTTAATTGGGATATGGAGATGCTCCTGCTCAACAGCTCGAGCCCGGTCAACTTCCAGGCGCTCAACCCCGCGGCCCCCCCGCCACCTGACAGCGGCCGGCCCACGGGGCCGCAACCGCCGCCGGCGGCGGGGCGCGGCGCAGAGGCGGCGCGGGCGCAGCCCGACGAGGGCCAGGAGCGAGGCTCCCTCCTGCACACGCCCGACGCACCCGCGTCGACGTCCGCCGCCGGCGGCAACCCCACCGCCAAGGGCACGCGCGGCGGCGCGGCCGGCAGGGGCGCCGCAGGGCGCGCGGTTGGGCCGGCATACGCCAACGCCATGCAGCGGCGGCTTGCTGAGCTGTACCCCACCGCCGCGTTTCCGCCGCCAGCAGCGAGCGAGGCGCCGCGCACGCACCCACACAAGCAGCAAGCGGCGAAATCTGGTGCGCCGGCGCAGCAGCATGGGCAGCAGGACGCCCAGCATCAATCGCAGCAGCAGGCGCCGCAGCAGCAGCATACGCAGCATATGCAGCAGCAGCATGCGCAGCAGCAGCACGCGCAGCAGCAGCACGCGCAGCAGCAGCACGCGCAGCAGCAGCACGCGCAGCAGCAGCACGCGCAGCAGCAGCACGCGCAGCAGCAGCACGCGCAGCAGCAGCACGCGCAGCAGCAGCAGCATCAGCAGCAGCAGCAGCAGCAGCAGCAGCAGCAGCAGCAGCAGCAGCAGCATGTGCAGCAGCAGCGTCCGCACGCCTCCATCGGGCGGCAGCCCTCCACGGCCAGCCTTCAGACCTTTGCTGCTGCTGACAGCCCCCAATCCCCCATTGCGGGCCCCGCCATTACCGGCGACGAGGATCACGGCGGCTTCAAAGATCGCATTGGCGGCGGGGGCAGCGGCGGCGGCGGCGGCGGCGGCGGCGGCGGCTCGGTCGACCTTTTTGATGAGGATGAGTTGGCGTGGAGCGGCCTCGCGGGCGCGGCATCTGATCTGTGGGAGGCTCAGGGGATCGCCCAGCTTGGGGGGTACCTAGGGCCGCCCGCCCCCCTGCCCACCGGCGTGAGTCTGGAAAGCACGGACGCCAACAGCGAGGGCCTCGCGCCGCGCGGCGGCCGCGGCGGCCGCGCCGCGGCGGCCGCCGCCGAGGTGCGGGGCTCGCTCGCGTCGCGCCGCGC